GTGTCTAAAAAACACCTGTAATCCTAGCACTTTGGGAGGCTGAGGTGGGTGGATTGATTGAGCTCTGGAGTTGGAGACCTGACTGAGCAAGAGCAAGACCCTATCACTATTAAAAATAGAAAAACTAACTGAGCATAGTGGTGGGCGCCTGTAGTCCCAGCTATTGGAGAGGCTGAGGCAAGAGGATCACTTGAGCCCAAGAGTTTGAGGTTACTTGGAGTTATAACCCCATGGTATTCTACCCAGGGTGACAGAGTCTCAAAAAGGAAAAAAAAAAAAAAACAAAAAAAAAAACAGGGAGAAGAAGGAGGATTCCCTCTTTCTGATCTCTCTCTCTCTTCTGGAGTAGGATACCTTTTCTTAGTGAATATCAGACTCCAGGTTCTTTGGCTTTTGGACTCTGTGACTTGCACCAGCAGCCTTCTGGGGCAACTCAGGCCTTCAGCCTCAGACTGGGAGCTGCACTGCTGGCCTCTCTGGGTCTGAGACTGGGAATGAACCATGCTCCTTGCTTCTGTGGGTCTCTAGCCTGCAGACTGCCTAGCATGGGACTTCTCTTGCCCACTAATACATTTCCTTTCATATATCCCCTTGGTTCTGTCTTTCTGAAAAACCCTGACCAATACAAACTTAAAGCACTTTACATGAGAAGGTTTCTGATCTCCCTCCTCAGGAAGCAGCAGGTCAGAGCATTCCTCTTTAAAATAACTTCTGGATATTTCCACCATTGGAGAGAATTCGTTTTAGTCGATTCTGAAGACCCCACTTGGATTCTAGTCTCCAGCTCTCAGGAAGCTCAGGGCTCCTTATTTTCTATCTGGGCCTCATCACTCACTTTTTGCTTCCATGATAAGAGGGGGAGGGCACCCTGTGAGACACACCAAGCCTGGTGGAGCATGCTCTGACTGGTGGTGCTTATGACTAGTAAACCTTGGGGCCCTTGAGGGAAGGGGAGAAGTAGGCCCTGCTGAGAAAGATGAGATGCATATAATTACTGCTGACATTTGCCGCTGCTGGAGATCTTCTCAGAGAGACCCCATGCCTCTAATGGGATGCCTTCCCAGGGAGATGGCATCCAGCTTGATGAGTCAATGTGGCTTCATTAGTCTCTCCCTGATATTTAATAGCAGCTAAAACCCAGCTCTCTGGAGGCCCAGTGTAGGCCATCCACACAGGGAGGAACAGGGTCGGGCTGGGAGGGCTGCAGTCAGCATGGGATGTTTTCTGCCTGTCAGGAGCAAATCCAAGTGCAAATCCATTCTTCTGCTTGTGACTTCATCAGTTGCTACAAGGGTAGACTAAATACATAGGAAAATAAATAAACAAAAGACACTGGTAGTAAGACAATTAGCTAATAGGGAAAAGAAAGAGAACTGGCATTTATGGAGCACTCAGATCCCTCCTGAGCTCAACCGTTCAAAGATTCTTCCAGAACTTTTATCTGCTCTACATACATGATGATTTTTAATCCTCACCAAGGGCCTCTGCTTATTATTTTAGAGAGAAGCAACAGAGACCGGGGAGCTTAAGGATTCTGCGTGGCTGCCCAGGTGTAAGGACTCTGGAAAGGCAAAGTTTGTGTTCTTTGTACTCTCAGAATCAGGGTTGGCTACTGCCCATGGGGTAAAATCCACCCCACTGCCTGATCCAGTGTGGGATGGATCTAAGAATGGCTTTTGTGATTTTAATGGTTAAAAAAAAAAAATCAAAATAGGGTGGCACCTGTGGCTTAGTAAGTAGGGTGCTGGCCCCATATATTGAGGGTGGCTGGTTCAAACCTGGCCCGGGCCAAACTGCAAGGAAAACAAAATAGCCGGGTGTTGTGGCAGGCACCTGTAGTCCCAGCTACATGGGAGGCTGAGGCAAGAGAATCACCTAAGCCCAGGAGCTGGAGGTTGCTGTGAGCTGTGACTCCACAGCATTCTACCGATGGCGACAAAGTGAGACTCTGTCTCTAAAAAAAAAAAAAAAAAAAAATTAAAAAAAAATCAAAATAATAATAACATTTCTACAATTGCCAAGATGTGGAAACAAATGCCCATCAACCCAGGAATGGATTAATAAACTGTGGTATATGTCTACCATGGAATTCTCTTCAGCCATATGAAAAGTTGATGACTTCACATCTTTTGTAATGACCCAGACGGAGTTGAAACACATTCTTCGTAAAGTATCACAAGAATGGAAAAGCAAGTATCCAATGTACTCAATAGCAGTAGGAAGCCAGTAGATAAACTAATACGTGCCCACATAAGAGAAAAACTCAATTCAATTCAAGTTGGGGGATGAGGGAGGGGAGGGGAGGGGAACGGTGTGTTTCCAGTAATGAGCACGACGTAAGGGTATATGGCACACATCCTGGGTGCGGGACACAACTGCAACAGGAACCTTAGCTAACACTTGCAAACCTTGTAAACTAGTTGTGCCCTCATATTAATCTGAAATAAAACAATAATAGTAGCATTTCACGGCACAGGAAAATTATGTAAAATCCCAATTTTGATGCCCTTAAATGAAGTTTTACTGGAACACAGACCTGCGCATTTGCTTACGGATTAATCTGTGGCTGCTTGTGCCCTGCGATGACAAAGCTGAATGGATAGTCATGACAGAGCACTGTGGTCAGCAAGATGGAAAATATTTACTAACTGGACATTTTACAGAAAAAGCTTACCAACCCCATTCACACTGATTCCCAGTCATCCTGAATGACAGAAAAAGATGGATTAAATTCAGAAACAGGCGCACACTTTATTGATAACTGACTTTGTTAGCTATAATTAAGCACTCACAATTTCAGAAACATCAAACACTGTTCTGTCACCAGCCAGGAATGGCCCCATAAGGGTTTTAGGATTTACAAGCATCATTAACTATTGCAGTAGAGATTTCTCAGCCACTTCAATGATTTGCCTTGAAGGTACTTAATATTTTCAAGTAGATGCCAGGAATGGGGTTTTGAATGGAACTGGCAGAGTTTGTTAAGATTTTTGGTCTCTCGATTATCACGTGCATGTGATTACTGCAAAAAATAAAAATGTTTACTTTCCCCAAAGTCCCAAAGTGGCTTAGCTCAGGGTTTGTGGCTGATTTATCAGTGGTGATGGTGTAGATCATGTTTGTCCATTTCAAGTGAAAGGGAAGTCAAGGAAGAAAGAAGACAACTCATGTAGGTGGTTAACCAGGTCACTGGTTTTATTGCAGCACGCTTTTAAAAGAACAGGCATGAGCAAGCTGTCTCCCTTTCCAATCCAAGAATGCTTGATTCCTCTGTGATGCAAAACTCTCTGAGCTGACAAGGAACACCCCAAGAGGGGCAGATGTGGAAGACTCTTTCTTTCTATTTTGGCACATGGCTCTCTTTGATTCAGGGGAGCCCTCCTCTCCTCAGTGCTTCTGTCCTGCTTGTGGCCCCAGGAGGACTGTGGGCTGACTGCTTTTGTCCCATTTCCCACTGGATGCTCCCCCCCCCCCACCTTCTGTGAACCTTCTGGACTCCTGTCTGGCTAAATCTTCTTCACTGGTGCCATTATATCTTGTGCCAGCATCTGCCTTATTTTAAGGTATGTGTCCAATCATAGGATGCTTGTCTATTTCCCTATGACCTTGAGCTTCTTAAGGGGCACTGTTTATTTTTTCACTTCTATACTCTTAGCATCCCAAACAGTGCCCAACATATAGTTGCCCCTCACTAGATACTTATTAAATATATAAATGGATAGGTTTCTTGGGGGGGGGGGCTTGCCAGGGAGGGAGCCTACTAGGATAAAGTTCTGGGATCTGACTGCATTACTTCCTTCTTCTCCCAATGAGAGAGAAAAGGAGCAGCACCCACAAGCCCCTGGGGAGGTCTTCTGCTGGCCAAAGCACCCTTTTGGACAGAGGGCAACGGAAGCAGGTGTAGAGAGGGTGAATGCTAGGATGGAGGCTTTGAAGTGAGCCTGCAGGCCTGCTGACAGTGACAAGAACCGCTGTGTGCAGCACCTCGCAGTTGCCACAACCCCATTTAGACCTCATCACGACCCTGTCAGGTGGATGTTATTTTTTGTTTTACAGGGGAAAGGAGCCAAACTCAGATGATCTAACCTTTCTGACATCACCTACTTAAGTAAGCAGTTAAGTGGTAACTCAAGCTTGGGCTTTGTTTTTTTTTTTTTTTAAACCTGGTGAATGTTCCTTTGGGAAAAAAATCTCTCTCTTTTTGATGAGTGACTTCACAGAAAAATCCAAACACTTTTCATTCCTGCTTTCTAGTAATCTTGAGCCATTTAGGTAATTATTACGTTTCTCACACATTTAGTTTCTCCCAATAAACAGAAGAAAAGAACCCTGAACTGATGCTCTCATGGTCTCTGTTCCAGAGCTTTTAGTCGCTCTCTTAGGCCTGTTTTTGTCCTAGGAGCTGGCCCTGCAGGGTGGTGGAAGGAGTGAGAAAGTGGACAGAACTCTGACCTTACGGCAGACAGGATTTAAAGTAGAAGAGCCAAATTCAGTCCCAGGTCCTCTACTGAGGTGGGGAATGTGGGTAACACGTGCCAAACTGCTAGACGCTGGGCCTGAGCCAACACCAAGAGCAAGGTCACTAGCCCGGCCAGAGGCCTGAGACAGCGGCTGCACACAGGAGTGTGGGTTGGTTGGACATTTGGACTCCTCCACACCAGTGCAGGAGCCAGGCCTGATTTGGTATTTTTAAAACCATTGAAACTAGAATGGGGCCTGAAATTTGGGGGAGATGGAGAGGATGTGAGATTCGTGGTGCCCGGGGCTCAGAGCACAGCCAAGGGAACAGTTCTGGCCTTCACTTTGAGCCCAGTGGCTTGAGTGGGTTTGTATGAGAGACTGTGAAACACAGTCTGTGTCTGCTAGGGATGCAGCGGGAGGTTTGAGATCAGCACTCCTGTGTAGCTCATGACTTGGCTGCATGCTGAGTGGGAAGTTCAGGGAATGGTCCAGCTTCCCCAGCCCCAAAGCCAATTGTCAGTTGTTTTTTTTTTTTTCAGTTTCCACAGAGACCGTTAAAGATCGCCAGTATATTTCAAGTTGTCATGGCGAGGTATCAGGGAAAGTTTTCAATTAGCAATGATCGCTCCTGGGATAAACCTCACTGGCTATAGCACTGCCACCGTGCAAAGCAGGACTAAGAGTCATCTTGGCATCTCATGCTTCTACCCCATCACCGAGTCTGTCAGTGACATTGCTGGAATGGCTCAGAATTCTGTCCACAGTTCTCTACCCTGCAGCCACCACCCTAATCCAAGGTAGCCCCACCTTTCTCCTGGAGCTCTGCAACAGCCTCCCACCTGCCTGCAACTGGGCCTGGAGCCTGCATCTTCTCCCATGGCCACACCCAGCCTGTTCCCTACCCAGCATCCCAGGATCTTTCCAACATGCACCTCTGATCTTGTCTTACTCCCACCCCATTTTTTAGATCTCACCTCAAGCCCCCTTTTCTTCAAGTCCTTCTGTTTTTTGCCCTGAAAGTCTCATGCATTGTTCCATCCAAGGCCTCATCATGGTTTTTCATTATACCTTTTTTTTTATATGTGACTAATAGATGAATTTCTTTCTTCTCTACTATACACTAAATTCCATGAAGAGAAGGACAGTATCTATTTTTCGCTCATCCACGACCGTGTTTCCCAAGCAACCAACACAGAGTATAACTTGATAGGTGTTAAATGAATAAGTAAATAAATAAATTCCAGTGAGGAAGGAATGGATGGAGAAATGGATGGGCAATGTAACGACTCCCTGCGAGCAAGTCTCTGAGGGAAGAGAAGGCGGCAGAGCCCTGGGCTGAGACCCCTTACTTCCTGCAAGGGCTTGGAGACTCCTTTCTGAAACACTCACTGAAAAGGTTTCGTTATTCCAAGATGCTTTCTCTAAATGGGTGTTGCTATAATGAACTAAAACTAGGAATTGCATAATCTGACACACACACACACACACACACACACAAAAACCCAAAACCATAAAGCAAATTTGGCTCTTATCTAGGCAAACATAAACAAACTAGACATTATAATGTAACATTCGCAGATATTTTAGAATACAGAGGAGGGGAGGGTGGAGTGGGAAAGGCGAGTGTATGAAATGAATTTTGACAGTCTGATGTGGACTTCTTTTGGCCACTTGGTGCTTGGATGATTTTGACTTTGGACCAGAGGCGTTGGCCTGAGTGTGCCACACTCCCCAGAAGCCCCCTCTGCCTCCGTGTGTGCACCTGCAGGGTGGAGTGCCTGCAGGACCCATTGCGTCGACCTCACTTACAGATGGGATCTCTGAGTCAGTGCTCTGGGATGGGAGTAGGTTCAGGAGGGGTGGGGCCGTGGAGAGCTGGGGGAGAGGGCTGGAGTTGTGCTAATGAGTGTTGATGGTGTGGTGGAAAGATCTCAGGCTTGGACATCAGACATACCTGGGTTCAGATCATGGCTGGTCTTGTAACAATTAACTAAAGCTTTCTGAGCGCTTGGTTTCTCCTCTGTGAAATGTGTATAGCGGGATCCACCTCGCAGGATGGCTGTAAGGATGCAGTGTTTCAGGAGGCCAGCACAGACACTGTGCTTACAGTCGGGGGCCGTTGGTGTTTCTTCCTTTTCCTTTTCTTTACCTGTCCTTTAGGAAGTAGCATGGTGCAGAGGATGGGTGGGGGGCGGCGGGGTACATTTTGCAGCCAGACTGAATTAACTGAGGTGCTGGCTGAGCCATGGACTGTCTGTGTGGTCTTGTATAAGTAGCCAAACCTTTTAGATCCCTCCCACCCTTTCCCCATCTGTAAACCGGGAATGGCAGTGGGGAGGAGCCACCTTGCAAATTGAACATCACACAAGAGAACGTATGCGCTGAGTTGAAGGTGAACTCCTTATATGCAAATTTCCTCTTCTGTGCTCCTTTGTGAGTTGATGGAGTGATTCATACATGTAGTTATTTGCCCATTTAGGGTGATTGAGCCTTGTTAAAAGGAAAAAAAAAAAAAAGAAACAAACAAACACACACACAGAGAAGAAATGTGAGCCCAGGAGTAGCCCTGCGGAATACTAACTAAGACATCTGCTTTCACAGCCTGTCTTCAGGGCAGGGCTGTTTCACAGGGCTGTTTGTGGATCCTGCTCGCGTTGGTATGCCAGTGGTGTCCCCAAACCACGGCTTTGTACGAGGCAGAGCTTCTGCCACTGACGGACTCTGGCTCTGTCTGAGCCACGCAGCTTCTAAGACATCCTGGATGACAAAACTCCCCCTCTGTTATTTCTGGATGTATAGTCTCTTTCATTATATTTATAAAATGGCCATCAAAAGAAAACCAAAACCTCCCGTCCCAAGCTTCTCCCAAGAGTGTTTTTCTACTTTTGTCCACAGATGGGGTAAAAATATGTCTTTCTACAGTTCTTAGCATCAAGGCTGCTGCTGCTTCTTCTTCTTTTTTTTTTTTTTAACAAGGAAAGGGCTGTTTCACGTTCTGAAGAGATGGGTTCCTTCTTCTAACATTGCTAGTTTCCTATAATCTCCCAAATGCACCCATTTTTTCATCACCTTTATGTGAAAGGTGGAGAGAGGGGAAAGGGTTTCTACTTCTGCCTGTTTTAAGCTGAATTTAAATGAATCCTAGGC